TGATGCATGAGAACAGGCTGGAGTGGGGTGCGGCACCAGGCGAGGCAGCGCCATCAGCCAGGGAGGCGCAGAAGCCTGCAGGGGCTCACCCAGGGGCAAGACCTTGCAATCTTGGAAAGATCATTCTGGTGCCTGTGGGAAGGTTACTAGCAAACACAACGGGTGACACACACACAAACACACATTTTATCTGCCTCTTAAGATTACACTAGAATTGTAGTGAAGAAACTTTAAGATAAACACCCAGAATACAAGGATATGGAAGTAACAAAAGCCGGAAGTTGGAAGCCAAATGAGTGGAGATAAATGACTTAGCAGACTCTCTAACCGGAGGAAGGAAAACCTGAGATCAAGTTGAAGTAGACAGTAAGAGCCTCTGCAGGTTCAGAAATTAGAGGCCTTAGCCTTTATAAATCAAAGAAAATGAAGCCTAAGAATGTAAGAAATCTGATTAAGTTTTCAGATGGACAGGTGACCTGCACACCGCACAGCTGGGTGGGTAGTGTACTTCAAAGTTGTTTTTTTCTCTAAAATTTTTTTTCTTTTTAATTTTGTGACCAATTTTGCATGCTTATATCTGGTAGTCTGAACAACTGATTTGAAGACAACAATATGCAACATAACAACGATTTCTGAATTCCTATTTTATTTAGCAAAATTCTGCACCACTTCTAATTTTTTTTAACTATTATCTTATTCTCTTAAAAAGTAACAATTTTTTTAAAATAATAAATGTTAAGAAAGAAGAAAGGGACAGAAGTTTCATTTCTCTGCAAAGGGTAAAGCAGAGGCATCCTGATCCCAGAGGTAAAAGGCCCACCTCGGGGTGAGGATACTAAACAAAATATGAAAAGTAAAGTGAGCACAAGCCTTTCACATAGTGAAAGCCCCAGGCCTGGTCTCCTCCTCAAATTCTGCAATTCTGGCATTTGTATCATCTAAAGTAAAATAGGGAAAACTTAGAGAGAATATTTAAAATGTTCAAGTATTAGTCTTGAGGATTCTATATCCAAATAATACAAATTCTTGGTTAAACAACATTATCCAAGAAAAAAATCAAAAGAGAATTTTGAATTATCTTGAGAAAGACTAAAATGGAAACATAACTTACCAAATTTTGGTATACAATGAAACCAGTTTTTAGAAGAAATCTTATAGCAAGAGATGCCTACAATAATGAGAAGAAAAATCTCAGATAAACGACCTAACATGCCTTAAGGAAAAGAACAAAATAAGCTTTTAAAAAAAGCCTGAAGTTGGCAAAAGGAGGGAAATCATAACACCAGAGTAGAAATAAATTAACCAGAGAATAGAAAAACTATTTTAATCAAAAAATAAAAGTTAGCTGTTTGAAAAAAGTAAGCAAAATAACACAGCTTAGTTACACTACAGAGAAAGAAGATTGTGTAAAATCAGAAGTGAATATGGAGACACTACAAAGGACACATCAGAAACAGAGGAGGGCCAAAGGGACAGCTGTGAACGAAGTTTGTATACTGGTACACAGGATAAGCAAGGACAATAAATGACTTCTAGAACCAAACATCTGCCAAAATTGAGTCCAGCAGAAATGAAAGCCTGACCAGACCAACAGCTAATGAGAAATGGGGTGGTAACCGTCCTGCATAGTAAGGGGCAGGGGCTGGTGCATGTGAAGGAGCAGTATTTGCTATTTATCTTTGAAGGAAGGCTCTGTCATTTGGGTGGGCGCAGCTAGAGAACATTATGCTAAGTAAAGTAAGCTGGATACACACAAATGGCCAGTGGTATCTCCTATGTGTGGGTATCTTTAAACCCTGAAATGCATGTAAGTAGAGCTGTATGGTGATTATCCGAGTCTGCGGGTGGAGGTTGGAATGGAGAGATACAGGTCAAGGGTAAAAGTTTGCTGCTGTGGAGGATGAATACATCTGGACATGTGAAGCTATTTTCCTGTGCATATGTATATCCCAGTATACCAAAAAGGCACCTTGTACACTCTAAGTGTATGTAATATCAAAAATGATTTTAGTGTTGGTGACAATGTTGATGACTTTTAACTTTTAAAGAGTTCTCAAGACAAAAGAAAAAATTAAAATTAAACAGGAGCATTAAAAATAATTCAAGAATATACATTATTTTCCAGACTTGAAAATGTATTGCATGTCTAGCACAAAGGATGAACATAAATCCAGATTTAGTGACATAATCATGAAATTTCAGAATATCAAAGATTCTTTAAACTCTAGGACATAACCAAAGAATAAGCAGCCAAAAGTCTTCAGATTTAATAGAAACTCCAGGAGGTGGGAGATGGTGAGTAGGGCAGGACTTTAAAACTCTAAAGGAAATGTGTTTCCGAGACAGACTTCCATACCCAGCTAAACTACCCACCGTGGATGCAAGCAGCAATCATCTCTCACATAGGCAAAGGCTTTTCTTCAAAGAAATGACTCCTTTCTCAGGAAGCTACTAGAGAATATGGACAATAGATCAGAGGGAGTAACTGAAAAAGGTGCAGGAAAGAGAGACAGAGAAAGAGAGAAAGAAAGAGAGAGAGAGAGAGAGAGAGAGAGAGAGAGAGAGAGACAGAGACAGAGAGACAGAGAGACAGAGAGACAGAGACAGAGACAGAGAGACAGAGAGAGATCCTGAGAATAAGGGACAAGGACTCTCGGACTCTCCAGGAATCAAGCTCTTGCAATCAAAGGTGGAGCTGTGCAAAGGCTCAGATAACCTGTCACAAATAGTAGGTGGATGGAAAATGCTTAAAATATCTGTACATTAAGAAAATAGATTTAGGAAAAATGGAGACTCTGATTTGAATTACTGATAAAAAAGCATAGATACCTAATCAAAAGGAAAACCCAGTAGCTCCAGGATGTATGTCAAGGGAGAAGTAATTACACTGTGCCGCATCACTCATCCGTGCATGACACTTACACAGCCACTGCACTGCGCATGCCAAATGCCAATCTCTTCAGCACCGACGTTTAGGAAAATCAGGGTGGGAGGAGGCCAACGTGGGCTCCTTCCTAGAGAGGGCTGGAAACTGAAAAATCAGCAGGTGCTGATTCCTTAGATACAGAAAAATAAAGACCACAATCAACAATTGAGAGAAATTAAAATTATTGTTTTGGGGCCAGCGAGATAGTTCAGCAGACTAAAGTGCCTGCTTAGACAAGCTCAGGCAAGCTCGGGGACTGTGGTTCAATCCCCAGTCCACATACCACGCCAGCCTCGCCCTCAGGGCAGGCTGAGCTGGCCAGAGTCTGGGCACAGTGGTGCAGCCGGTAGTCCCTGCTCCGGGGAGGCCGAAAGCGGGAGGATCACCATGGGTCCAAACTGCATAGTGAGACACTGCAGCAACCAAATACATTAAAAAATAATAGCAATAATAAAGATAAAACAAAATTTTGCTTTAGGGCAAATGAAAGCTGAAGAAGATGGCCACACTGCCATTTTGGGTTTTTGTTTTGGTTTGGTTTGGTTTGGTTTGGTTTTTATTTTTTGGTATAAAAAAACCTGTACGTATTTTAGCCTTCAGGTGATACACATGAATGACGTTTGCTAGAGCTGAATGCAAGGGAGTTACGCTGACATGCGCTGTGGAGGTATTAGGTGAGCATTATGCTCATTTAATTTCACAGAAAACGCTATAATCTTTGTCCTATTGTGACTTTCATTTTGCAGATGGGACAGCTGAGGCTCACAAGTTAGGTGATTACTACATGGCTATAGGATCACAGGCAGCAGGACTGGAGTATAATCCACAAACGAGCCCTAAAGTGACCACTTCCAAACACTTCCTGAAGGCTTCTTAAACTTGTCTAAGCCTCTCTGGCAATCTGATAAAGCTTTCCTACTGCTTCATTTTAAATGCTTAAAATAAAAACAAAGATGCAGAGTGAAACCAATTGAACCCAAACTGTTTAAGAAAACTTTAAAATATGCTATGACAATGTACAGCTTGTTTGCTGTCACTGCTCAGCATGATCCAGCAACGGGCCTAAACCCGCCAAGGTCCCCAAGTGGCCATGAGCAAGCACATCGGCGCAGTACTTCCATGGCTGGCAACATGTCGCAGGCGCCGCTAGCAGTCCAGTGAGCTGCCTGTTTTGGAGTGAAAGTTTTGGAGGGAGTCGTTAGTGAAAAGCAAGCAGCAGCATGTTCCTTTGTTAGTTCACGGACCTCGTAAGTTCTATTCATGAATCTGAGTGTACACTAGGCTCTCCTACCACCTCTTAACTGTGCCAGAAGATTTTAACTCCAATTTTAGAAATTAAATCTTCATGGAAATAGAAAAATAAAACTACCTCTCGGCTGGAACTGCCATCTCCCAGTAACTTGCCAAAATGACTAACACAAAGGGCAAGAG